AAGACGTATCTATATTGTATAAGACGCAGTCTTAATAAATGGTTAAAGAAAGTTAAGCTAAAGGCGTGCCAATTATAACAATGTATAAAACAATTTCGATAATAATTGTATTGTACTCATTACAATAGTTATTGAGGTTTTAAGACGTAAATACGAAATACCAATAAATAACACATTGTTATGTGATAACTAAAACGTTTCGTAACTGAAATAATTTTAAACATTTTAAACAAGCATTTTGTATTTGAAATGTGCGACGAGTTAAAGTTCTAAAGGAATATTATTATATTTATACAGGTAGTCTTTAATATTTAAAAAGTTTTTGAATTGCAATTTTATCGAGTTGGTAATTTGATTTATACTCACAATGAAAATCAAAAGAGCAACATTTCTAGATAACACAAATTAGTCACTTTTTTTTTTTAGTTTCTATTTTTTTCAGTTATGCTTTTGTCGTGGTTTTTTTTTATTTTTTTTTAGATGACCTCATAAAAAGCCCAGCGGGGACCCAAAAAAGTAAAATATTATAACTGTTTCATTTATTTGTACGACGCTTGGGGCTCTTAACACATGGCCAGGAGTAGGATTTCAGCCCAATTTGCACAAAATAACAATATACTAGCATTCCACAAGGGTCAGGTATATACTCCGGTGAAATAAAAATAACCCACGTCTAATTGTTTTTTACTGCAGTGTAAAATGTATTAAAAAATCGGTATTATATACAAGGAAATAAAACAATCACCGTGTGAATAAAATATGTTCTCTACAATAATAACATTTGGGATAAATGTAAAAACTAACATATTATTAATACATATTAATAATATATAACTAATATATACAATAATGTAGGAAAGCAATATATTTAATACTTAATTAATATTTAGTATTGGGTTATATTATTTCTTCCGTACATTATACCTACTTCTTCTCTGGTGTTCTATTTATGTTGAGGGACAACAGCATCAAGCTACACATACAACATGAGAAGTAAATTTATTTTCTTCACTTATTTCACATTATCCCAAAGTAAATAATATATTATATTGACGTATCTCTAGACTTAAAACTAATAATAAATTAAATTGCTTTTAATATATTATTATTAACTACCTAATTAATTAGATAGCATTTAATTATATGTGCATTTGTATATTTGGGATTTACCACAAAAGTTCAATGTTTCGAATTTGATTGTTCATCCCATAAGTTAGATAGTCTCAATCAAGAAGCGTTTGTAAAACTACACAATGATTGAATTTAAACTCAATACATTCATTACAGTAAGTTACTTACATTTTTTTTTATCGTCGCACATTGCTACGTTTGTTTATATTTTAATTTGACGTGATTTATTTAAAAAAAATATTACATCCGTTATTTTCGTATACCTATTTTTATGAAATTTAATTACACACCTACACTGTTCTCCTGTATAATAATTATTATTTGTACTGATAACAACTATGATAATTATAATAGCTAATAATCCTTTAATGTATAATATGTTATATCCTTCTAGTGAATTCATGTTAAAAATCCAATTATAATTTATTAATAAAATTATTCCTACAAATTATACCGCGGAACGTTTGGAACTTTTTTTCATACGTCAATGTTTTCGTTACATGTTTTCCCATTTTGTATGATCCCAAAACAATATAATATACCTAACAGACAAGTTTTTTTTTCAAAAAAGTAAACGTATGGGCGAAAACGGCAGTCAAACCTTTTTTCGTTTTCCACGGAAACGGGCTACTTGGGGACCGGTAACCGGTTGTTTGGTAGACTAGAGGTTAATCTAGAGGATTGCTTTTCGAAATGTATTTTGTGTTTAAAAATTGATATATTTCTCATCAATGCTGTGCACAGTTATTATATTATAAACACAAGTTTTGAGAGTAATATTTATCTAGAAAATATGAATTTTTCAGCACTAAATCTATGAATGTACATTCATTAAGGATATTATTATTTTTTGACACTGAAGATTTTTTATACGCACCATGATATTATACGACTGCCGCGAATTCCATCCACGAAACTCAGATTGGAGGGGGGAGGGGGGGTTTACTATAACGGCCCGTCGTTTCAATAATTATTCCCGAACGCGCGTGAGTCATTGGCAATCCAATTTACACACAAGTAACGTATCGCTATATTAAACATTTATACACACCCTAAACGCATATTCCGGTGCTCACTGAATTTATATTCTTATACGCATAAATATGCGCACGCGCGCGTGTGTGAGTGTGTAAACGATCGAACTGAGACCATTATTCTGTCTCGTCGCGCAAAGATGGCAACGACCGATTATGTAACTCATATATATATGTATATATATCGGGACACATCGTTTTTCTCCCCTCCTGAACATCGACGACGACGAAAGCGCTTCGCGAGGGGTTGGCTGGAAGGACGAGTGAAAACAATAACACGAATAAGAGCGGTGGCGGTGGCGCTTACGACGCACTGGCCCTCACACACAATCACACAGACGCACTCACTCGACTCATACGGTCGACCGCACGCAGCCGTTACTTAAAACATTCGTATAATAATATATATTATTATTATATATAGACGGCGACCGGTCATCGCGCTTTCCCTTACGTATTATATTTGCGCGCACGCACGGAATAAATGAGTCACTTTTCCATATAATTTATTATTATTATTATTATTATTATTAGTATTACGATGCCGCCGCCGCGGTCGATTCGGCGGGGTGAGTGCGCGCGGTGTTTGATCAACACGCGGTCGACCGATGCTGTTGTGGGGGGGTGCGTTTGTCGCGTGGAGTTAAGGGTTGGGTAAGGGGTGGCGGCGGCGGCGGCAGTCACGCGTATCCGGCAAACCGACTTAAACGGTCCCGTCGGTAACGCGAACCCCGCGCTCAGACCACCCCTCGAACGCCACTGCGCCGTCGACCGACTACATAATATTATACAATGTACATTACGCATAATATAATTTACCGTCGAACGTTTTTCCAACGCATAGGAATGCGCAAAGCACAGGCTAGTCCTGCACAGAAAACGCGTACACTGCCTTTTGTTTTATCGTAATTATTCGGCAGCCGGGTACCTAATACCTATAACAATAATGTGCAATAATAACGAATAATAGTAACGGTTACGTTCCGTGTAGAGAGCCTATGTTAAAATAAAATACATCTAAAGCCTGGCATATCGTTTGTACACTGCAGTTCCGACAAAACAAACTCCGAAAATAGTTACTCTTTTGTCATTGCGAAATCGGCCCAAAAGATGTGTGCAGGAATATGTATATTGAATATACAGTATTATATACATATCACACCCCCACCACTCAGCACTCAATCCAAAAAAAATAATTATACACAGGCAAAATATGCATTCATAACATAATTATAACTCAATTTAAATATTATAATTGAACCCGGAAAACGGGGTCACTATATTATAGCTTATAATATTAAAACTTGTAACATCGCTATAATAATTATAATTACTGGACATGAAAAGTCACAGGAAATTCATAAAAGTTAGTGGTATAAATCAATACTGTTATTGTACGATGACAAAAATAATGTTTTCTGTAATCAATATCCCTGATGCAGACGTTTCGTCGATTAAAAATGTTTTCAAAAAAAAACCAATTCATGATGTGCTGCTTAGTGTGATTTAAATTGACGTGCCTACATAAACCTGACATAATCCTACGTCAAAACCATATGATATTAATTTAACTATCCGTTTATATTTTACTATCATATAACAATATGCGCAATACGAATACGCATAATAATAATAATATTATATTATACTATCGTACTCGTGTGGTGCGATTCAACGCATTTTTTCAGAAGACTGTTAAAGCAAGAGCGCAGCGGCTCGTATCCCGTTGATTTCTAAAAACCTGCAGGATCTCGAAAGCCAATAAAATATATATATATATATATGGGTGCCTACCTACCTATATATATATATAGGTTTAAAACGAAACCTGGGAGCGGGCTCGAAGCAGTATCGGTAGAATTACGACCCGAAGAAGAACGGATGCCCTACTCTTATACTACAGCGAACAACTTCCCACCGGGACGTCACGTGTGCGTGTGCGTGTGTGTGCGCGGTATACATATATATTATATGTATGTATGTATGTATGTATGTATGTATGTATGTATGTATGTGTATATATAATATATATGTGTGTATGTGTGTGTGTGTTTTCCGTTTAAGGTAATGCGTTTCGGGTGTACACCGTTAAGAGTTTTCCTATGTTAGCCATTCGGTTTCCGTTCATGTTCGTACACACACGACCAAGTCACACGACTGGACGCGAGGAGAACTTCAAAGAATATAGACTAATACAATTTCACCGTTTGCCACATCTCGACGTGTGTTTAACGCCGGGGGAGGGGGGAGGGGTTGAGAGTTTTGCGGAAAAGGATATAGTACGCATTAGCATACATGAATATTACCTGTTATTTCTTTAGCCACCACTGCCATTATTGCGTTAATTACGGAAAACTCAATTTCGCTGCAAACAAGTCACAAGATTAACCCTTTGGAGTGCGCATAGGCGCCGGCAGGAATTTTGTCAAGGGGGTGCATCGTGCATAGTATACGCCGATTTTTAAATAATGTATAAATAATTTTAGTTAAATACGTAGAAATATTTTTTCAAATTAAATGACGATACAAAGTTATTTTTTTTTTATTCGTCAGAAGTAATGTCAAAGTAATGCGGGATATTGGCTGCGATTAGAAAATCCGATAATGATCGACAACTCGTAAGCTTATCGCATGCGATAAAAATGACCGATTTATATATTGAATATACAGACATACAGTGTATATTATACACGTGACAACTGATATGTCCTATACATCCATCGACACTATACGATAAAATCGGAATCATTATTAGTCGACAGTCGTGTGTCCGTGTGTGTATATCTCAACGTGCTTATTATTTTAGTTCTTACGTAAAATTATTAATATATAAAAATGAGTGACATACGAAATTTTTTGCAAAAGAAACGCAAGATAGAATTAAGTCCATCAAGTATAAATGAAGGCAATCATGACATAGGTAATTTAAGTAATTTAAGTACTAATAGTTCTAATAGTAGCCAACAAAAAGAAGTGCCACAACTCCAATCAAGTATAAATGAAGGCAATCATGACATTGGTAATTTAAGTAATTTAAGTACTAATAGTTCTAATAGTAGCCAACAAAAAGAAGTGCCACAACTCCTTCATCAGTTGACTGTTGGTGCTAATAAATTAGATATTGGACTGTATTTGAATTCCTACGTTGATGACGAATTACGTTTAAAGTTATTGAAGGACCCCTGGGTTCCATCAAAAACATATGACTTCAAAAAAGATTTGACCAACGGCTCTACGAGAGTATTTCGTATAGAATGGTTTGCACTTTATCCATGGCTAAGTTACTCAGCTGTTTCTAAAGGCCCACTATGTCGCGTTTGTTTTAATTCAATTGAAGAATTTGGAAAAAAACCTAGGCGTTTGCAATTATTATTTAAAAAATAATTATTATATTACATACCTAATATAAATAATATATTATATAGACAATATTGTAAAATAAGTATAAATGTATAATAATAAATAATAGAAATAATGTAGATAATTATGCAAAATAAAATAGTTTTAATACCATTCAATTTCAAATAATATATTATATAGACAATATTGTAAAATAAGTATAAATGTATAATAATAAATAATAGAAATAATGTAGATAATTATGCAAAATAAAATAGTTTTAATACCATTCAATTTTTTTAATTTAATTTTTTAATTTTTTTTTTTTTTTTTTTGTCAAGCCAAGGGGGTGCAAATGCACCCCCTTGCACCCCCCTCACGGCGCCCATGGGAGTGCGTGTAATTCGAACTTGAAACGAGAAAAGGTAACATAAAAACGCTACTCGAAAACCCCAAGCTGGACGTTCGTTTATAATTATAAATCACCCAATAATTACAATTATTACTACTGCAGTTATTGCTACACGCCGCAACATCGCTGTTTATTCATTATAATACATTTTATTAGGTATGGCAGATAAAATATTTTATCATATTATAACATATTGATATTATGAACTTCAACTTTATCATCGCAATAATTTATTTCAGTGTACCATCCAAAACAGAATGCATCAACATATAATTATTTCCAATAACTGTTTTGTTTCAAATGTGTTTAATATAATATTATTATAGGAACAATGTATTTAGATAAAATAATGAAAATTTTGAAAGTACAACATTTTTATTTTTATTTAAATAGGTAAGTACATACAAAACAAAAATTACTTAAAACAAAAATTGTAAAAGTCGCACAATCTCTAAGGCACACGGTGGATCAATTGTTGGATAGTATCTATAATTTACAATTTTTGATGTATGGAATATGACCTAACCTAACCCATATTATAAGGTTAACTGCTCAGATTTACCTCCATTATAAGATACAATATCCGTATTTTAATATATTATACTATCGTGTACCTACGGATTTCATTAATTAGGTATATACAATTTCGAAACTATTTAACGAATCTAATAATGAATTTTGATTTTAATTTCAGTAAAGTATAATATGCGGTTATTAATAATTTGATATCTCTATATTATGTAAAATTGTGCTAAGAGGGTTCTGGCTATTTTTTTTTTTTTATGTGCACTTGTGCGTAACGTTAAATATGGTTATATAAATGTAACATGATAAGTGTAAATTTCCAATTTAAAATCATAGTAGAGATTGTTTATAGAAGCTGAGTAAACAGAAACAAACACCGAGCAATGATATAAGTGTGTTTACCCTGCACGAGCTGCTAATAATGATAAACAATAATAACCACATTATGTAAAGCGACAAAAAACACGAATTTAGGGTAAATGTATTATATTTCAAAAATCATTGTATTTTGTTATTAAACGTGACACTTGAGATTTAACCAAGGATCCAAAGTTTGTCACGTAGAAAATCGTATTAGACAACAGTACGCTATATACTTATAGCTAAACAAACTTCTATAATAATTTATATTTTATAAGTGATAATTAATAATATTATCCGTGATTTATAGCTCAACGAATTCACAAATAACTACTGCAGCAGTCTCGACGAGTAATTTTATTATGATAATAATATAATGATTGGATAATATATTATTTTATACGTTAATGAAATATTATAATAATATATGTAACTTATCACAAAATTCTCCTTGTCGATACGTCTTACAGCTATTATGTGTAAAATATGTAGGTACTTAAAAACCATCAAAAATAGTGCAGTAATTTAATTCTCAATTGACTCGGATGCATAATAATAATAATATATCACATTTCTGCAGGCACGTTTCTTTCGAGATGATCAATATACCTTATATCTTGGTTCGTAATAAATACTAGTATTTATAATCAATGATATTAGGTAATAGTTAAAATTATAGTAACTATAATATAAATATTACTTTTTCATTCATTGGCACACGTCTAGTTCTGCACTGTCTCTAAAGTATTCTTTGTTCCAATTTTATTAGCATATTTTACAAGCATTGATAGTATAGCTAAGAAACGTTGTTAAACATTAAAGCCAATACAGATATAGGTAAGTATACAAATTTTTAAATTCTAGAACAAGTTGAAATTTGTTTTGCGAGAGTGTATTATAATATATAAACATATTCATTTTGTTATTCTACTCGTTAATAACATTTTGTTATGAATATTTCCCATGAATAAAATCGCAATCCCATGAAACGTCCACTTAAAACAATACCCTTTACACAACAACCACTGTTTATTTTTTGCACTCTAGCACCACTTGACGTGTTTTTTTTATTGAGATAGGTAGTGAAAAAAAAAATATATATATAAATATTCAACATTATTATTGTATAAGGTCGTTTGTGAGAATATATTTTACACCACGGTATTGTTCGGACCAGACTGCAAATATGTATTTTTACTAAAACTTTGAGAAGTTCGAAAACATTTATATAATATAGATATTGCAATAAAAATAGTACCTATCGTAATTATTATTTTCCATGCCATATTTAGGTACACTGTTTAAACTCACAAAAAATTATAAAAAATAAATTGCAATTCACTATTCACGAACATTAATTTTAAGTCTTAGTTGATTCATTGTTGAAGAAATAATTGTTACACTAAATCAAAAATGTATAAATAATTAAAATCGGGCATACGTTGAAAATACATATGATTTATATTAGATACATGGTAAATTAACTAAATAAGAACATAATTGTTATAATATAATAATAAAAAAAAAAACAAGATAAGATACCGATATCGTCTTCCTGATAATAATAATCTAAACTTCAATTAAGTGCAGGACAGTGAGACATTAATATAATATGTAAATAAACGATGTCTATAAATCATCGGATTTTAAAAATGGCCCAGAACTTTTATTAATACCATGCTTTCTGACATCTCCAGAGTACACATCGAACTTTATGATTGAACAGTTTTATCAAAAAGTATTTTAAAATAGCATAGCAAGACCAATACATTGCTAGTATTACTCGAAATCATGTATATTAAAATCTATAGTTTGTACTCAGATTTATAAAACTTATTGAACGTTTTGCCTTAAATGTAAATACATGCTTAAATTACCTATGATGATATGCAACAATATATTAAATTATAATGATTTTACTTTACTTATTTTCCAGTTCGCTGTCCATTACCATACGCATATCTCAGATCAGTTTCATACATAAAAATGAGAGTACTTCAAAGAGAAAATCTGTTCCCAGACTCTTCAACATCCTTTCAAAAAATCAACCAGCTACTTCAAACACTACAGTTGCAGAAAAATGCTGACGACATAGATATACTTTTCATTCGTGAAACTCGGTTGTAACAAATGACAATCCCATAACCTATAACTACAATCGTGAAACAACGTGAAACGAAAAAAAAAAACGTGGAAGTTAAAACAAACTGAGGATAATCAATGAATGACATCTTCACTTGAAAACAAAGGCACTTACTCCAGACATAAATAATATTATACGATTCCAATTTCTACTTCTCAAAGGTTAGATTATTCAGTAGGCATATAATATAACTTTCAATAACCAAATATGTAAAACGTAGCCTTTGTACAATTTTCAAAGTACAACTAAAAACTAAGTATAATTTAATATCAGCCGCCAGGTATATAATTTATTATTTCTTAGTTAAAACCATATAATAATTTTGCCATAATAAATATTTATATATAGTTAAATAATTATATACAATTTAATATTGTTTTTTATTTTAATTTTAATAATATTTAACGAATGGAAAAAACGAAATGTATTTATATTTATAATTATAATAAACTGCCGTCAGTTGTCAGTCACGGAATACGTTTAATAAGAGTTAAATTTTCCAAGTAAAATTCTTACATAAGAAGTTTTTTTTTTTATTTTTTTTTTCATGGTTATGATGTACTTATAATGTTACGTTACATTTAAATGGTTTGATGTCCGTATTTATTGAAAATTTTTTTTTAAATTATTACTGGTTTTGTTTGTTTCAATATTTTATGAGCACGAAACGTGTTTAAACATAATTATTATGATAATATAAATATCATAGACATTTATTGGAAATAGAACTATAGAAATAAAAGTCTTAATTAATTCATTAACTCGAACACCTAAAAAGCACGTAGGCGGGTAACGCCTTTTAAAAACGAAAATTACAATTATATAGGTACCTAGGTGGTATACCTATAACCACTACCTATAAGTTTCACGACACGGAGTCGTGAACACTTCGTAATCCTCTGGCGGTGACGTTACACCATCCTTTCAGCATTTTCGCAAAAACGATTTACCTATAGATAATAGTGACATTGGCCCAACGGTAACGGTTTACCTACGCTTTAATAATATTTACTGCCGGATATCCTGATATTATGCCGACGAGTTGAACAGACATCGTGCAACTACAAAATCCGCCATATAAAAGCCGTAATAATATACAAATGCATAGAAATCGAACTTTCAATAATTATCGAATTATCCACCCTCCGCCATCACCGCCTTAATCATAACATTCTATAACTGCGCAATACATATATAATGCACACACGGCAAGTAATCGTGGCTGTGGTCCTGGGGGCTCGGCAAGGCGATATAGCGGATTAAATATAATAATAATAATAATAACAATCTAACACACATCCCTCGGTCCATGTACAATACGGGTATCTTGAGCCAACGCTGAACGTACAAAGCACTTGCAACATTATACTGAGATAATATTATGCGCTCTTATGTAATATCTATATACTTACTATAGTGTATAAACTGTGAACAAAAATGTACGACGTTGTAAAATTTGATAAAATTTATAAAAAAAAAAAATTCCATGAATACACGAAGTCCGGTAAAACGCAATATCAGTGTCAATATATTATTAATAAAACATTCGTGTCAATTAAAAAAAAAAAAAAATCGCTGTTTGATCACGAACACGATATTTTAAAT